AATAGTGAAAACTCTAGCTCAAAGTTCTGATTCCAGAGGTGGAACATGTTCCATTAGCCCAAGACTCATCTAATCCTAGCTGCCTTAGTCCTTTCAAGTTCCCCCATACTCTTAAAAGTCAGAAGACATAGGTGATTGAGAGAAGGCTGATTAAAACAAAAAAAAAAAAAAAAATCAAGCATTTCCTCTCCAAGCACAACTCTATGGTTGTATCCTCAAAGTAAGCTTTAAATTCAATGCATTCCTTTTCACCATTGGGTAGCCAGTAATTGGTCATTCTAATCAACTCTTCATTCAACCTTCTTTTCTATTAGAATCACAACTTTGCAAGGATGGCCTGAAAATTTAGCTTACTCTTCCATTCTCCCAGAGCACCTAGGCATGTCTACATACAGAACATATAAATACAATATCATAAAGATTCAGTCTTGAACTAAAATATCAATAAAACATCCCCCATGTTGGCAAATACTTCTTCACTTTCTATTTGTAGCAAGTAAATTGACAATATCATTTAAATAAAATATGTGCAACTATTCATTTTGCAAAAACCTCAATTGTTCTCTTCCATCTTTGCAAACTTAGCAAGACTTTTCCTCAGAACCAAACAAAATACCCATTAAATAAAAGTGAAGAAGTATTTATATGAGTATGTTTTGAATTTTCATATGCAATTTCTTCGTTCGGGCTATTACCTCATGCTATCATTATAAGAACTAGTCTGTTAAAATATGTTCCAACTAAAGCTTGGTGGACTTTGAATGCTCGATAAAAATCATTCTCTCGAGCTAATGAAGACAGAAACTCTGCCTGTAACAATATTAAGTTTGTTTTCTCTGGTGATTCGGAGAAGTGAGCAATCTGTCAGTAATACATTGAGTGAAATTACTTGTCTTGTAGGAATAACTGCTGACAGTCACTTTATCTCAGGGCTGACCAAACATCTCCCTGCTGACAAACAAATTACTATGTCTAACTTTGAAAAGGTAGCTAGCTGTTTTAATTTTGATTGGCCTTTCAGAATCCCTTATACAAATACCCAGTCCCATCTTTCTTTGTATTTTATAAAAAGGGTAACAAAAAGTGTTCTTTTCTTTGCAGGGGTGGGGGGTGGAGGTGGGGGGGAGTGCAGGTTTGAATGAATAAGAAAAAGAAAGAAAGAAAATCTCTGTCAGTTGAAGGTAAGAAAAAGAACTGCTATGCTTCCTTCTAAGACTGTTCTGAGATGGCTAAGTGTGTCTACTCAACATTAAGACTGGCAGTGCTGCCAGTGTCTGACTGGGTGAGTGAACACATTACTCAGACAGTATTGTAGGAATTAATTTTCTTCAATAAAGTGATTTTTAAGCCTCATATATTTCACAATCTAAACATATGTCACTGTTTCATAAACAAAATAAATGGATTAAAATAATACATTACCAATATGCTGACATGTGGAGATATTTTAATTAGAAATTCTTAAGCTATGTGGTATTTAACTGCTGTATTTGCTGAAGAGAAGCATGCATCATTTAATAAGAAGGCATGAGTCAGGTGTATCACTTTGCATATAGTACCAGATTATGTATAATGTAAACTACAACCATGAGGCAACGTTACTCCAAATTCAAAACAAAACAAAAAACAAAATTAAAGACCAATTTATTGTAAATAAGTAATCAAATACAACAAATCAATACACTAAAACTACTTTTCCATTAAAAAGTCACTCCGAACCTAGTTCCAGAGACAACAGACCTTTAGAAAAATGGAACACCATAACTATTTAAAGGCCATGTTTACATGACTGCCTCATTATATTGGTCCCTTTCCTTAACATCCTTTTTTACTTTCTTAAAAACCAATGATAATACAGCTAAGGAAGCAAATTGCAACTGATCCAGAAATTTATAAGGGTGAGAGCACTAGAATAAGTAGCAATATAATATATTGTTTACTGTAGTAAATGCCCTTTGTTCTCTAAAGGTCAAAAGCATTGTAACCTTAGAGCTATAGTTTCTGATTGTTCCCAGGGTTAAATACATTATCAAAATTAATGGCTCAAGCCCCTAAACCTTCAGATATATGAGTAGCCATGCTTCCATCTGCTGAACTGCTCAACTAAAAATAGCATTCTTTGGTCTTCTCTCTTCTAGTATTGTGCCCCTGAGGCAGAGTAAACCAAGCCTTAGATGAGCAAAGTAGTATATGGTTATAAAAAGGTCTTCCCTGTATTTTTCTTCTTTTAAAGAAAGAGCATAGTAAAATATGTCAACTTAGGAAGAGTCTTTCCATTTGAAGTATCTTTTGTCTACATAATAGAAAAGTTCATGTTTCTAGTTCATGTTCTATTATTGCTGATGAGGTTTTATGCAAGAACATTGATATTAGAAATGGCATGGTATGGAGGATGACTAAGTTAACTTTTACATTAGATGAAGGGATCCATTTTGAGCAATATGCTAGGGGAAATATATTGTTAAGTTTTCCTCTTGAAAGTCTTTCTTTATAAACCAAATCTGTTAACATAATTGTAATAATTCCTTGGTATCAATAATTTATCATAATCATGATTATTGATGGAACTGTAACATTTTAGCTTGTTAAAGGTGGGCAATGATCCTTGCCGAAAAGAAAATGGAGTTTTAATAACAATAAAATAAGATGCTTTAAAAATTTCCTTTTACCTTTGCTCAAAATTTAAAATATAATTGTCTACTGGCTCAGCTAAAGATGTCTACTATGCTGTTCATGAAGATCCCTATAAAAATGCCATACTTACACTAGGAGAGTTTGGGGAAGCTGCTTTTCAAACAATATCGGTCTTTTCTAGCCAATGTACCATACAAACAAACAGGTTTCCTGATATGCAGCGGAAAAGTACAATGAGTGGAGGCAGGCAAACAGCAAAAATATAAATGAAATAGGAAACTCAAAATGAGCCACACTCAACTGCAAAGTTATGAAGGGTCTTGCATTAGTGGGTCTTAATTAGCCTAATTCAAGTGGCAGACATGTAGTATCTGCTGTACTGCTACATCAGCATTGCTGTGACACCACACAGCTCTGGAAGTCATATACAAAACATCATGACATCCGGAAAACAAACAGAGCCAGACTTGACACCCCAGGAATTGAAGTCAGAAGAGAAGGCCAGGAGGCAGAAAAGAACCAATGTAAGTTAAAAAATGTAGTCAAAACAAGAAGTTTAGTAGAAACCTGAATAATAGCGTAAAACACAGTATCTCAACAGAGAATAATAGTGAAAAAGGAATGAAGCCTTGAATTTGAACCAAGGCTATATGCTTTTATTTTCTAAGCATTTAAAAGCTCTTCAGGCTAACTGTTCTAAGTGGGTAAGTTTCCTAACTAACATCACAAACAAAAGTTTGCTCAAGCTTCTAATCCTAGCTACTCAGGAGGGTAAAGTGAGGATAATGGTTTGAAGCCAACCTGGGCAGAAAAGTCCATAAAGACTCTGATCACCAATTAACCACAAAAAGCCAGAAGTTGAGCACCAGTCTTGAGCACAAAAGGTTAGGGAGAGCATCCAGGCCCAGAGTTCAAGCTGGATGACAGGCAAAAAAAAAAAAAAAAAAGAGTGTTCCTGCTCAGATATCTCATTTTAGGTATCTCATTTTAGGTCTTCTAAGCATAGATTTCCAAAATTCCCAGAAATGTGGCATCCTTTCTATAGTCTTAGACAGAAATCTCTTTTGGTTGTGTAGAAGACAGGATACTGCCTGGTCATGTCTGAGTGGAAACCCCCTGACTACCTTTTATATCAAAATGAAAGAGGAAAAGTGGGGGCAGGCAATGAATTCTGAAACCCTTCCTTAGGCTACTTCCAAGGTGGCCTTTGATCTTGGCTTCTTCCTTCTTAGGGGTAATCATTCCCTATCATTTTTCTAAAGGACAGATTCAAAAACAATGGAGAAGATAATGTCTAAGAAATCCTGGGTATTAACCCTCAATTGATTGCAGCATTTGATATGTATACACGGATAGAGTCAATAAGAGATGAAAATATATGATCTTGTCAGATCGCTTAAAGTTTCCCACTCTAGGGTTAGAAATTAGATATAGCCCAGAAAATTAAACTTCTCCAATTTAAGTTAACCACTCTCTATCCTTTTGCTTTTTAATTCAACAGATAGTTGGCAACCCTCCAACATCTGACAGTCCCAAAGATACTCCAATGTTACAGGAATTAAGAATTATGTATGAAATTGTAGCAAAGAGGAATAGGTCCCTGACGTAGAAAAGGACTTCATTTTTAAAAGAATCACATATGCTATTTTCTCTCAAGTAGTAAGATTGTCCTGTAAAACAACAGAAAGCTTTACTGGGAGACTAAATATGAAAAGGATATTATAAAAGTTTATGATGCAAAAAGCTACCAAGCCTGGCTCAATCCTTAGTCTGAGAAAACTAAGTTATGAATCCTGAACTTGGTATAGAAGTTCTGGACAAAAACCCTAACTCAACAAATATTTTTCAGATTTGTTCAAATCATTTGATCTTTCTGAACGTGATTTACCTATGCAAGCAGAATTCTATTTTATCAAGCTTTCGGGATATCACATATGAAAATGAAAATAATTATAAATATCTAAGTATTTGTTAAACACTATACTTAAGAAAAGGTTTAAAGCCTGCAAATCTTTGTAATTAGCCTTCGGCAGTCCACTAGCTCTAAAATAAAGGACCCAAAATTTGCCCTCTCTCTCTCAAAAAAAAAAGAAAAGGTTAAAAGGTGAGAGGAAGATGGCTTTAACAATACTCAGAATGTAAAGAATTTAGATTTGTATAACAATGAAGAATCTAATAAAAGGGCTTGGTTTCAGTTTTACCTTTTTTGTCTGAAAGAAAAGGAGCAAAAGAAAAAACTTCCTTATATACAAGAAAAAAAGGAAAGATCAGGTTTAGTTCGAATATTTGCTACTTTAAAAAAAATCTAGAATATGACTGAACAATCCAGTCCCCACCCAATGAAGTATCAATGGAAGCATTCATACCTCAATCTGTTTGTGGTTGTAAGAGTGGCCACCACCATGTTCAAAGGTGTCCAAATTCCTGCCAAAACGGTCACTTAGGCCCTTGAGCCTTGGGTTAATTTGTGGGTGAGAAACATGACCCTTCTGTTTAGTAACATATTCAGAAAAAAAAAAAGACAAAACACACTGTCAGAACTCATGAAACAACATATATATCTAAATCTTGGGTACTGACCACATCAAGAATGGAAAGTAGACTATTTAAGACTCAGCCTTTCTGTCTTTTTAAAAAAACAGAATCTTGGTTATATAGGTTCAACCAGTGGTACTGGTTTCTTATTTCCACCTCTGAATCATGAAATTACTCCAGAGATCAGCTATAGCAATAGGAGAAACAGGTTAGGTTTTTACCAATAGTGAGGGGGCTCTTGAGATTTTTACCAGCTGCTGTTGGTCCCAGTGTTAGTAGTGTGGAAACAAGAGTTGCAAGACAGGTAAGACTGCTGCTTCTGTTGGAAAAACTTTCTGGCTCTACCAAACAGCCTATGCTGGGGGATAGAGGCTTGAAACACAAACTTCTTATGTGCTGAAAAAAATTCTTTACTTGTAGGTCCAATTGAAAATGTCCAAAATGTTTCTGTATGGCACAAAAGTTGTAGACTTTTTATGCTCAAATTTATTAAGGAATAGCAACACAGAAATAAAAATGTCTAGCTAAATGTACTCTTCTAGATTTTTAAAGAGAACTCAAAAACAATCACAATAAATGGTAAGAATAAAAATTATTTTTAATGAACTGTTTCATTGAAACTTATATATTACCACCTATCTTTTTTTTTTTTTTTTTTTTTTTTGGTTGGTCGTGGGACTTGAACTCTGGGCTTGGGCGCTATCCCTCAGCTCTTCAGCTCAAGGCAAGCACTCTACCACTTGAGCCACAGCACCACTTCCAGTTTTCTAGTGGTTTATTGGAGATAAGAGTCTCACAGACTTTTCTGCCCGGGCTGGCTTTGAACCGTGATCCTCAGATCTCAGCCTCCTGAGTAGCTAGGATTACAGACATGAGCCACTGGCACCCGGCCCACCTATCTTTAGCATATTCAAATACCAAATATTTGACTGTTGGTGTTCACTCATATATATGTGTGTATAAATATATATACAATGTTTATATATACATGTATATATACATATATACATACATACAATGTATATATTTAAGTCAATTTACCATTTAATGGCTGTAGTAAAAGGGAAAAAAATATCTGGTCCTATTCCAAATTCCTTATATTATTGTGAAGAAGGTAAGGTAAAATAATTTTTTTCATTCAGTCTTCTAAATACATTCTCCTTAAATTTAGAAAGCACCTTAATCCAGAACTTGGTCAGACAACAGGCCCAGACTTCTGACATTGGGAATAATACGATTGCACAATTTGTTTACATTTACCAAATGATCAAGTAATTTGGAAGTAATAACTTATTCTATAAGGTACAAGAAGGACAATATCTAACATCACCCTCTGTTTTGATGTTTCCATGTAAAATCTAATCCAGCTACAGTGAAAACATAGATAAGAAGTTGGTAAGGAAAAAGCTAACATATTCAATAACTAATCATAAAAATTGTAAAACAGTTAACTAATCTAACAAAAAATAGACAGCACTAAATTGTATCAATTTCCTTTAGAACTTATTGAAATTGGTCATTTTCTCTTCTGTTTGCAGAATGATAAGTACATAAGGTGTTAATCCTTGCGGGCTGGGCTTTAAAATTATTTAACATTCAGGCCATTATTTAGCATACAGCTGGTTTGCAGTTTTTTTTCCCCCAACTAACGCACTGGCTCACGGCCCACTTCTTTTTTTTTTTTTCTTCTGGCACTTACCTGGAGCTGTAAAGGGCTGAGTCCAGAAGCAGCAGCAGCTGCCATTGTTGATGGAATGAACTGTACGGGGTAGTTATCACCTGTCAGAAAGAACAATGCATACAGGTTTAGACAATGCACAGGGAATCTCAGCAGACAAGTACAAACATGGCCTTTGGATTGCCTGAGCTTTACAACATTGCTCTAAGCCCAAACATCTGCAGAAACAAAAGGCTTGGTTGGGCACAGACTTGCAGAACTGCCTTGGAACTTTTCGTTAACAGATAGCTGGTAGGCAAACTGGCAAAACATGAATGTGATACAAAAAAAAAATTAAGTGTGCAATTCAAGCATGTTCACTCCATTACAAATCTTGTAATACATCATTTTTAAGAGTAAAAAAATATCTTAAGCCAGGCTGACACTCAGTACACTGTGAAAACATTGAGGCTTTTCTACTTGAACAATAGAAAGTTTTGGCTTGGTAAATAAGGCAAAGTACGAGAGTCCAACAAAAGACTATCAGCTATTGACTTTCCATAGCTCTAAACTTTATATTATAAAAAAGAGAAAACATTTTAAAAACACAACTTCTCTTATTATTATTGACAGGGAAGAGAGGGAAAGTATATTATTTATTAGCATTCTGTGAAATGTGTGGTATCCCTTAGTTGGAATGAAAAACAGTTTTGGGGGGAATTAACTTCTAGGATTTGATTAGTAGAACCTAGTAGAGAATGGTGCCTACTAAGCACCAATCAATGATGATGATCATCATGATGATCATCAATGATGGTGATTTGATTACATATTTTACATGGGGTATCTATATCAAAAGCCTGGTATAGATTGGGTGTGGTTTAGTAGGGGCCCATGCACATGTTGATGTTTACCTAACTCCAGTCCACTCCTCAACAGGGGACTAAAGTACCTTCCATGAGCTAAGCACTCTGTGGCCAGCAACCTGAAGAACTGCGAGGAAGTAACTAAAGAAAAAAATAATACTTGTGGGGGAAAAAATCACACAATATTAGTGTGTTATTGTACTATCACTTTGGCTTCAACTACTTATTTAAAGTCAGTGTTATGTAGTATCTCTAGGCTATATTTTAATAGGCTGTTCCTCCACACATTTTTGACATTTATAATAATCATGCTGTTTTACATGAACTTTTCCGCACAGAAATCTGAATGTAATAATAAAGAGACATTGTATAAAGAGTCACTGTAACAGCAGTAGTCAACTGGACAGCAGTAAGCCCCTCCCCACCACACATACTCCCTTTTTTCCCCCAGCACAGACACGAGTACCTGGACCCTTCCCACTGTCCCTGGTTCCTTGGAACTCATCCTGTTTGCCACATGAAGTGCCACTCAGCTGGTCCAATGTAACTGTGAAGTCGCGTTCACTTTTAACAAATTGTTAGCTTCTAATCGACACACTCTCCTTGCATCATATCCATAATACCTCATCAGACCATTGAGCACAGTGTGTGCTTGTACACAGTCCAGTAACAATTGGCTTCTGATTGCATATGGAGCGCTGCTACAATGCATTCACTAACACTATATTGTGCTGATCTCCTATGGAGTAATGTTCAAAATATCTGATCTTGTTTTTCCCCTTCCATGAGGTTGATTTTAGTTTTCAGTATTATATGAGCTTTTTAAATAGATAACTAGGCCAAATTATTTTTATAGTAAATGACTGTCACTGCTTTATGCTTAAATAATTCTACTGATCTTCATCTGTGAACTAAATTATCTGAAGAAAGAATATCTTATATAAGTCAAGCAGTACTTCTTTGGTTGATGTCTTATCAGGTTAAAAAAAACTGTAAACGATGCTGAATTAATGATGTTTCAAAAAATAGGGGGAAAATCACCATTGCAACCATCAACATGGACTGCCTCCTGGAACATTCTAAAGCTGTTCTTTCTTTAAATATCATGCATTATTCATATCAACTCAAAACCACAACCCCCACCCCGTAAGTTTAATACCAGTTGCTTTATTTGTACTAAAACATTTTTCATGTCAAACATATTTTAAAAAATCAAACTCTAAAAGAATTCCCTGGGGCACTCCTTTTTTCATAGCTGTCATGCTTCTGTGCTATGAAATAGTTGATTTTTTTAAAATATAGTTTTTGGCTTGCCAGTTAATTTATTACTATCTCTACCACACCCTGTAGTACTCTCCAGCTCACCTGCTGGCTACATACAGTTTTCTTTCCACTGTCAACAAGTATATTTTTTAAAAAACCAAAACATTCTAACCTTACTGTGGGGTTGAATCTGTTTATTTGAATGTATCTTTAGAAAGCTATTTCTTCAAAATATATCACCGTATCAATTCCGAAAATAAAAAAAAATGAATCTATCGGAGCAACAAGGTATACCACAAAGAATGGTATACTTGGAAGAGAGAGAAAAAAGTAGAAAGATAGGAGAGAGGAAGGGAGGTTAAAAATGGGAGAAAAAAAACTTAAGAGGGAGAAAGATTTGAAAGTAATGTATAGTTTTTGATAATAAAGGGGCAAGTTTTCTCTATCCTCTCTGATTTTGTTCTGTATAACAATTGATCAAGAAGAGTTCTCACTAGCTGGCTTGGCAAGCAATTAGTCAACATGTTACAGCAATTTTTTTTTTCAAATTTCAAATGCTTGCGTGAGGAACCATTCTTTTTAAAATGAATAAAGGAAGAGAAAGCCTGTTGGAACAGGTTGGCTTTAGGCACAACTGTAATTTAGCCCTTGCTACCTGTAGTGTAAGAAGACAATCCCCAGAAACCAATTTGGGACATGATAATGTACTTTCTGCAAGTCTATCTTGCCAACCTCCATGTATTCTAATTTGTTTTTATCTGAAGATTACAGAACAAATATAAAACAATTTTTTTAATCTATGGAAAAGTTGCTTAACATTAGTTTCACTTATCAGAATAATATATGTTCCTCTGGCATCACAACAAAAGTCCTAAATGAGAGAATGTAAATTGTTAAATTTTAGAGAGAAATGAATCCAGAACTTAATAGGAAATGAAACTTCAACCAAGACTCATGCTGTCTTCTGCAAGAATACTCCTAATTGGCATAGTTTAGACATAAATTCCACTTTCTTAAAAGAACAAAAAAAATTGGCTGGGTAAAAGTCTTTCTAATTAACTTGCATTCTTCAAAAAAACAAGTATGACTGGGAGAGTCATAGATCCTGAGATACTAACTTTGGATGCTAATATATTGTAGGAATCATTTAGAGTCTTTCAGAGGAGAAGAAAAGGAAACACACACACACACACACACACACACACACACAAGTAGGAGTCAGAACTCCAAATTCTTAGTGACTGTCCGAAAACGTGAATGTACTAAGTCTGGATTTATCTTTACACTGTAGCAAAAGTTAGGACTTTGGACTAAAAAACTAAAATGAAATCTTCAATTTGTTCTGAGAACAAAAATTTTGAAAGGATAATAATATAGATTACTGAGATCATCATACTCTTATTTTTCTGATTTTTTCTTCTCTAATCATCTAAGAATATCAATGATGAAAACATTCTTGGCCCCCAATTTTTTTCTAAGATCATCTGAACTCAAAGTTCAGGTAGGTCTTGGCTAGGTACAGTAGCTCAAGCCCTTAATGCCAGGTACTTGAGAGCCTGGGATTAAAAGAATAGGGTTCAAAAGCCAAACCTAGGGAAAAAAGAAGTTTGAGAGACTCAACCAATGGCTGAGCATTATGGCTTGCACCTGCTAGCCCAGCTAGAGATGAAACAACAATGTCTGGGTAGAATGGCATGTATCTGTCATCCCCGGCAACATAGAGAAGCACAAGTGGGAGGATCATGGTCCAAGTGGCCTGGACATAAAACTCAAGATAGTTCCTCAAATGAAAACAGCACATAAGCTGGGCATTGGTGGCTCATGCTTGTAGTCCTAGCTACTCAGGAGGCTGAGATCTGAGGATCACAGTTCAAAGCCAGACCAGGCAGGAAATTCAATAAGACTCTTATCTCCAAAAAACCACTCAGAACACAGGAAGTGGTGCAATGGCTCAAGTGGGAGAGCGCTCGCCTTGAGCTGAAGTGCTGAGAGACAGCGCCCAGGCTCAGAGTTCAAGCCCCACGACTGACCAAAACAAAAAAAAGCACAAAAAGAGCTAAAAGTATGGCTCAAGTAGTAGAGCACTTACTTGGCAGTGCAAGTCTGTGAGTTCAATCTTCAGTACTGAAATCTCAAGAAAACCTTCAAGCCTTAAATTACAAGCTCATAAATTACATAGCCTCCATATTCAAGCGAAAACACCGTTAAAATAATTCTTAAGTTCATAAAGTTAAGTGAACACAAAACTTCCTTTAGAATCTCAGCATTCTCATTGAAAACTGAACATGCTAATGAAAGAGTTACAAAATTCTTTGGTTCCAAGTAGATATAAATATTCATAGAGTGGTTACATATCTCTGCTTTGAAACACTTGGGAAGACAGAAATGGCTGGCTTTATTATTTAGATATCCTCACACATAAAAATTATATTTTTCTCTTATAAAAGTTAAATTTTCTTAAGATCACACATAGACCATATCCTCAAGTTGAAAGTACCAAATTACAGAATTTAGGTCTTAACTGCACCTCCACTATTTTCTAGATGTGAATTCCTAATAAGCAAATTTAATATTTAAGTTTTTATACATATACAGGTAGATATAATTCTGTTATGAATCATATGTCATAATACATTGATTTAATATTTTAGTGTCTTCTTTTAACTTAATAATAGAGATAAGACCACTTACTTCAATCTAGATCTGAGAGTTATGAAAATTGTTCATATACATATGGTATGTATCTTGGCAGAAAAATAGTAAACAATAAAAGAAGCAACAGGACAATCATAATGATTGTACACCAAACAATTAAATAACTTAGAAGAAAGAGAAAAATTTCTTGAAACACACAAATTAACTAACTGACTCAAGCTGAAATAGGAAATCTCAACAACTTATAGCAAGTAAAGAGATTGAATGAGTAATAAAAATCTTTCTAACAAAGAAAAGCCCTGATCCACATTGCTTCACTATGAATTCTACAAGATGCTTAAAGAAGAAATAATATCAATCTTTCTCAAACTTTTCCAAAATAAATAAATAAATATGTTCTCTGAGGCCAAGAATACCTTGATTCCAGAGAAATACATCATAGCAAAAGAAAATTAAAGACTAACACCTCTTGTAAATATGTGTAAAATCCTCAGCGAAACATTACCAAATTAAATCCAATAGCATATTAGAAGTATTATTCACCATAACAAAGTAGCAATTATCCTAGGAATACCAAGGTGGTTCAACATAATCAAATCAATACAATACATTTAATTAACAGAACAAAAAACACAGGATCACTTCAAATGATGTAAAAAAAAGTCATTTTCAAAATCCAATATGAATAGGAGAAAAAATTTTCAGCATCACCAAGTGTTAAAGACTCAGCTAATTTGGTTGGTGTAAGCCTAAAACTTTTCTCCCTAAACTAAAGAATGAGACAGTGGTTATTACTTTTACTTCTTCTATTCAGTGTTGTACTGGAAATTCCAGTCAGTGTTAATAGACAAGAAAAAGATATGAAATGAATTTAAACTGGAAAATGGGTAAAATTATTTCTGTTTAAAGAGAAAATAGGCTGGTTCATAGAAAAATATGCCTAAAAGACTATGAGAAAGATAGTAGAGATAAAAAAAATTAGTAAACTTACAGGGTATTAGAAAAGTTGCATTTTTATATACAGGCTATAAAACAACCCCAAAGAAAACTAATAAAGAAATTCTATTTATAATAGTAACAAAGAATTAAATACCTGGGTTAAAATCTAACCCCAGGATATGAACAATTTATGCCTTGATAACAACATTGCTGAAATAAAGTTGGCAGAATCTAAGCATTCACCACCTGATGAATGGATAAAGGACATGTGGGAGACACATGTACACAATAGAACACTAGCCATAAGACAGACAGGAAAGTCTATCATTTGTAACAACATACATGGAACTAGCAATCATTATGTGAAGCAAAAGGAAGATATGTACTTCATGATCTCACTCATCTTTGCAATCTGAATAAAAATGTTGTTCTTACAGAAGTTGTAGGTAGGCTCGTGGTTACCAGAGACTGAGGAAAGGATGAAGAAAACGGGATGGGGAAAGTTCAAGCTATAGATACTAAGTCACAGGTGGAAAAAAAAAGATCTGGTGGTCTATTGCTCAGTAGGGTGATACAGCTATTATTATCTAGAATTATGTATTTCAAAAAAAGTTAGAAGAAAGGATTTTGAAAGTTTTAATTTAAAAAATGTTAGAAGAAAAGATTTTGCACTTTTTCACCTAGACATTTTAGATATGAGAGCATTCTGGATGTTCAAATTAGAGATGCTCAAAGTGTATTAGCTTTGATTTATTTATATTTGAATATCAATCAGCCTTTAAATTAGCCAATCCGTTAACACCTCTATTCCTTGAATCATTTAAGTTTTGTCACAGACATCATCTTCTTGCAAGGAAGAGAGTCCTCTACGAAATGCAAAAGAGCATACATGGTAGCAAGCAATTAAAATGGACATAAAACTGTTTGTTTCTGTGTTTTTTAGTAAACTTCTTTAGAATTTTAGTGAAATGATTTATATTTTATTGCTCAAAACATACTAAAATTTTTTTGCTCATTTTATGTCACATATACAAAGAAATCACTATACTTAGATCTGTTACATTCAGACTTGGTAGTTAATATAGTCAGGTTAATGTGGTAAAAAGAACTTGACACAAAAATTATTAATGAGTGGAACAAGGTCACTACTTCTGAGCTGAGGTCACTTACAAAGAATGCACAAATGAAATTAAGGTTGACTTCTATTTACTTGACTATCTTCTTACACTGGATTCCTTTGGCAACCTATCTTTAAACATTTAAAGCCCTGTTTACAAGGAGGCTCTGAAAGAAGCTTCAAACCATTATGTCCCTAATTGAATTCCCCAGGAGTCCAGCAAACTCACAGGAATAAAGAAAAATCATAACATTTGCTAAATCATATTTCATTGCAAGGTTATGTGACCTGTTTTTGAGGTTCAAAGATGAATGAAAAATATTACTAAATACTTCATTATTCAGACTTTATTTTTATAAATCTACCTATTAGTTGTAAACTAATTAAATCAGCCCAAAACATTTTTTCTAAGGGAAATCTGACAGAAAAAAAATAGCAATAACATATTTTATATTGGATGTGACCAGCTTCCCAGAGGACAAAGGCTTGTGGGAGTTAAAAAAAAATCTTTAACTAGAGACAATTATTCATTGTAAAGTTCTGAGAGAAAGCTGACCAACATTTTCTAGGAAATTTTATCTGTGAATTCGGAGCAATCTCAAGAAGAACAGAAACTAAAAGTGTTAGCAACCAGTTCGTTTATTCCGATTCTTGCTCTTCTCAATTCTAATTTACTTTAAGAGAAGCTTCCATGATTTTTTAAAAAATCTGCAGTCCCCCTTGCATGTTCCTATGTTTGTTGTGACTGCTAAGCAGAAACATGTGGATCTGAACATTGCCAAAAGAATGTAAAATCTCTGGCTTTCTCTACTTACCTGGTTTGTATGTTATTCCAGGGGGGAAGAGGAATCCCTGTTGGGCGGCAGCAGCTGCTGCCAGGGTCCGCTGGTCATGTGGAAAAATTGGGATCATGAGCGGAGGCATGTGACCCTGAACCTGCTAAACAGAAGAGAGCCTATGGTCAGACAGAGAGCAAATGTGTGCCAAGAAGCATTTGTTTTTTTCACTCCTAGTGATGTCTAGGTACCTTGCTAGCCACCCACCTCTAACCTCATTCCAGATTTGCAAGCTGAAAAAACTCAGACAAAGTCTACCAGATCTCTTTTTTCAGAGGTTATTAACCTACCAGGGATATAACTTTACTTAAATTGGCCTTGTCTCTACTTCCAGTGGACAGTAGTTTGTGGCTTTGTTTTTTTCTTGATTTATTTTCCTTTTATTTTCTTTCTTTTAAGCACAGAGCTATAGGAAATAAGTTTGCTTCTTTTCCTACAATATTGAGAGGTTTGCCCTTTCACCCATTTTGCATTCTATGCTTTATTTTTAAAATAGCATTCAGTACCCTTGGACAGAAAATAATATCTAATTGTTATGTATTCCAAAGGCTGTATCTTCCCCTTTTAGATATCTTATTCCAAAGCCTCGCTGCATTATAGTAAACATATAGCTCTTCAGATTTAAGGCTACCACATCGTGGTTCCCAATTAAACTAATATTCTTTGCCATACACACCTCGATGTAACATATAAATTGCTTGTCTGGCTAAGCAGTTTTACAGTTTTATGTACTACCATGTAGCAAGGTAATTATGGAGTTGTATTCAGAGAGCATTTCATAATAAATCCTACTATATCAAATTTCATTTGACCTCAATAAATGTATCAAAGAGCACAAAAATGCAAAATAGAAAATCTTCACTCTATATCAGTATTTGTATTCCATATAAAGAAAATAAGAGCTATGACAGAATTATGCTTGTGGAAATTACATTTTAATTCCTTAGCTCCCTTCCTTACTATGTGCATGCTTGCCTTGATTCTAGGAGAGCATGACACAAAGCTTTGTCCTGGCTTAGAGGGCACAATTTTATAGTGTAAACTACAGGACTTCCCTCATGTAAAATACAAAACAAAGATGCACCAGAAGAGGTGATTCTCATTCACACAGGATCTTTGGGCTTGTTACAGGTATTAAAAGGGCTGCATACTAATCTATTTAAGATATAAACATTTACCAGTAACTGTATCAACCCCAATCCCTTCCCCTGTCTAAATTCCTAAATCTCCTCTTTAGGCAAAATTCCATATCCTAGCTGATGACCCTGTACAAATAGCACCAACTTGCCCTGTCCTGTCCCTGTTCTCTCCCCAGTGGGGGACACCATGCAGAAATGCTTCTGAGAGGTTTCATTTACCAACCGTTTTTCTCTAGGGAAAACCCTAAGATGTGGGTTAATAAAGGGCAAGCAAAAAATAAACACTTTAAAGTATTTTTCTGAATTCATTTCTCAGGAAAAATCAACTTATAATAAAAAGGTCTTTGTGCAATTACTACCTTGCCAGTGGGGCGTGAAAGAAACTAGCTTTGAGCAGCTATTTCTTCCATTTTAGCTGAGGTAAGCCTAAGTTTTGTGCCTTAGAGTACAGACTTATTCTGCTTAAATTGGAGCTGATCCCCTAGTGCCCAGGTCTCGCCTTTAACCTTGGAGAAAAGCAATGGGTTTGCTGATCAACTCCAGCTTGTTGTGAGCAAATACAAACCTAAAATGTCAAAGATGAGAGCACTGTTCTAAGCCATAAAACAAAATGCCATTCTTTGTGGTTGACCAGGGTTCAGAGTGAGAGCGCAGTGCAGGAAATGCTTTTATGTTCCTCTAGAAGTCTAGCCCCAGTATGTACCTAGAACACATTATGGCTGCCTAATGCCTTAGCAAGGGGCACAAAAAGTCTGGGCATCGTATTTATTTATTCTTTCCATCTTTCATCCAACCATTATTTGCTAAGGTGTTAAACTCTGCTAGGGATCTTTAGAAGTAGCCAGAGAAACTGGGATATTAAGCCTGAGAGAGAAGATATAAGGTGATCTTCACCTGGTTATTGTGAGAAACAAATACACAAGACAAGTAAAGCTTATGATATAGTGACTGACATAATAGTAATGTAATGTCACAGTAAAGATTAGTTCCTTACTTTTTTGTGTGTAGTTTGCATATCCAGTATTTGAAAATGATCAAATTACTGATAAGCACACCCAGTAAGTCTTAGCCATACTTCAAGCCAAGAGAGAAAACATGAACCAACTAAACAATCCAGTTTGGCAAGCGGAGGCTGGTCATGTTCCTAGCAGACAACCATGCCTCCCAGAGCATTATCTCATCCCAAGTTTCTAGAAAACCATGAAAAAAGAAGAGAGCTTACAAAGATCATTTGAAGAAGTAACTCAGGGTCTTTAGTGTTACATATTAGACAGCATTTAAGAAAACAAATTTAGTTTTACAGTGGTCACTAAAGCTCTTCAGCTGGTAAGAAAACAAAAGAGATAAATGGCAACTAGGAACCAGACCTTAATTCTTGCATCTGGCTGGCTGTCCAAAATTGTCTCCTTTGTAAGTGTCCATTTTTATGTATATAACTAAGAAAATTGCTAGGATTGGGTTTTCCTTGATTTTGTTGTGGTGCTAGGGTTTGAAGTCAGGAGATCATGTTTGCTAAGCTGTAGTTCTCCACCATGAGCCTTGCCTCCAACCTTATTTTTGCTGATTACCTTAGGATAGGGTCATGTCTCTAACCTAGACATGTGCTTCATATCCATGATCTGCCTACTTAGGCTTCCCATCATTGCTAGGATAACAGGAGCCTGCCACTTAGTCCAGCCTCTGATCATGGCGATGGAATCATGTGGACTTTTCTATACAGGCTAGCCTAGAACTGAGATCCTCCAGTTCTCAGCCTTCCATGTAGTTTGGGATGACTGGTGTGCATCATTATGCCTCGCGGTGGGTTTTCAAGGAGTCTTGTGAATTTTTCCATTTTACTGGCTGTAAATGAAGACCCTCCCGATGTAGTTCTATCCTCTCAAGTAGTTAGGAGCTTTAGTCATTTGTAATGACAAAAAATTACAAGTGTTCCATATTAACATGTACTGTAAGAATTGGGAAGTTCCTTTCTCTCTGTAATATTCTATAAGGCAAGCTATGTCAACAACTTTATTATTATCCAGAGACATATTTTTTTTCTTTTGGCAGTACTGAGTATTGAACTCAGAACTTTGGGCATGATGAGCAAGAGCTCTATCACTTGAGCCACACCCTCAGTCCTTTTGTTTGTATGTGGTTTTGTCCTGGCTGCCAACATGTCCTGAGCCAACATGTTAAGACTCTATTAAAAAAGGAGAGGATAGAAGACATTGTGAAAGCAAGAAAGGATAGAATCATAAAGTTGAGAGATGATCTGACTTGTTTTCAAAACAACTACGAGAACTGTTTTTTGTTTTTTTTTTCCCCAGTCCTGGGGCTCGAACTCAGGGCCTGGGCACTATCCTTGAGCTTCTTTTGCCCAAGACTAACATTCTATCACTTGAGCCACAGAGCCATTTCCGGCTTTCTTTTTTTATATGGTACTGAGGACTCAAACGCAGGGCTTCATGCATACTAGGCAAGCACTCTGCCACTAAGCCACGTTCCCAGCCCAAGAACTGTTTTAAAAAAGCAAAATTTCAAGCTCCATTCCATACCTACTCAATGAAAAACTCTTGAGATGGGGTCTAACAACTCAAATTTTAGGTAGAAATTTAATCTAAAGCAGTAATCTTAAAACTTTAGTGTAACTAGGACAAACTAGAGGGCTTCTTAAGTGGCCCCATTTTCACACACTTGAATCCTCCAACAGAGCTGGAGTGTGGACATTTTTAACAAGTTCCTAAATGAAGTTGATCCTGCTGGTCCAGCAACCACATTTTGATAATTGTTAAGTCCAAACCTCATAATTTCCCAATAGAAAAGAGATGGATAGAAGAGATAGAAGATATACATAAGGCTAAAGTTGCACTATGACAGACTTGGAACTACAGTCCAGAACTATCACTCACCATACCCAATGCTTTTCTACTACATCACTGGGACTTCAGCAAGAGAAAAGGGAAATCGGTGATAGGAAAGGAAGAAATTAATTTAGCAGAGAAAACCTGGAAGTTTGCAGTTGAAAGCAATTTTGCATATCAGAGGTATATTTTTGGATGCAGTTCCGGAATTTGGATACTATAAATGCTTTCCAATGTTCTTTTATCCAGAACATTCTTGTTCTCAATGTTTACTGTCAGTAATTCCATTTATTATAGTATATTCATTATCATTGGTCATTTAGTTCAAATTATATCTTATTTTAAATAGAATTATGGTGTAAAATTTCAGAATACCCTTTATTAAAATCTAGCTAGAAGATCCATCCAGCAAATTCTTAAAATCTAGGCTGAGCACCGGTGATGAAAAGCTCCCTTTTAGTTTTCCTTATGGAAGCAGTAGAAATGAGGCTGATAACAACAGTAATAATAATAATAACTACTATAGTTAATATTTTTTAGTGTTTCCTATACATTTAGTACTGGAAAAGTAATTGCATGCTGTATCTCACTTAATCCTGAAAACCCCATGAGGTACTTACTTAATCAACGGGAAAGACAAAGTTATAAGAGTTAGTTAAATAACTGTCCATTAAAAAGTGCTAGGTTTCAGTTCCCAGTCCAGATCAGGATCAAAGTGTTTTGTGTTATTTTAACTCAATGTCCATGTGCATACTTTTTATGGGTGGAGGCGGGAATGCTGGTCCTGGGGTTTGAACTCAGGGCCTACATACAGTCCCTGAGATTTTTGGCTAGAGGCTAGCACTGTACCATTTTGAGTTTCAGCTCTACTTTCAGCTTTTAAGTAGTTAATTGGATATAAAAGCCTCATGGACTTTCCTGCCTAGGCTGGCTTCAAACTTCAATCCTCAAATCTCAGCCTCCTCAGTAGCTAGGATTACAAGTGTGAACTAAACAGATCAAAGTGAGATAAGGAAAGTCATTCTTTGTGATAGCAATTACTGACATGCTTTTATCAATAAAATTGTAGATTTACATGTATTTGTAGCAATGCAGTGAGGTCACCTGAACCTTTAACCCAT